GTGCAATACCAGGCCAAATTGCAAAAAAAATTACCGATTCCTCCAAATTTAAAATCATATTTTTTTGCTCCCAAGGCACATAGGAAACAGAATTTAACAATAAATTTAGTTGAAAAATTGCCCCTTTGCGTCTAATTTCGCTTTGAAATGCGTGCGTTTACTGCTCTTGTATGAAGCTAGAGTTCGAAAACATTCGAAGTACTGTAAAATGTAATGAAATCGACAACTTGACCTTGCCCTTGAGACCTTGTACTGCCTCAGCACTGAAGTGTTTTTTTGATAACAATAATTTACCAGTGTTTCTTGAATATTTTCCTTGTTTAACTAGTAGAACCGAACGTACAAGTGCATCAGAAGACTAAGCGAGAGTTTTGTGTAGAAATGCTCTGTTTACGGGAAGTTATTTTGCATTCGCAAGCGTCAACAAAAGCCGGCATTTTCACAGTTTCATGTTTGATTATCATAGCAATAGATAAAAGCTTTGAAAATTCAATTGAAAACATTTTAAACCGCCCGTATTTGTATAGTATATATGTTAGTTGTATTAACATTGAACTTCTTTCTGTTTGAACCCAAATTTGTACTTTTTTTGCGTTTGACAAGGCTGTCAAGCTCGCGCAGATTTAGCGTGTCAAATGTCTTCTTGTTTGTGTCAAGATTATAATATTCTATTGCTGTTCAAACGAGATATTCTATACACTGGAAACGTAGAGTACATTTTACTTTGTCTTTGTCTCAAGCAAAACAATTATAAAGATTAAACAGGCATTCAAAAATATGCAACAACACGAACATCTCGTAATATTTCTTCGGGGAAATTTCAATGGCAATCTGGCGCATCCGCAACAAATTTCCCAGCTGTTAGCAAATTACACAATTTTCTTCCAAATTGGATTTTCTTCTGTATTTCCTAACAGAGGCCAAAATTTCCTTTTGCAAGAAAATATCCTGGCAAGTGGAAGCACTGCATTGTATCATTGTACCATTCCATCATTTGTGCCCTTCATTGTTCATCATTGTACCATTGTTTATATATACATATATATATATATATACATATATATATATATATATATATATATATATATACATACATATATATATATATATATATATATATATATATATATATATATATATATATATATATATATATATATATATATATATATATATATATATATACAGGGACCGCGGAGACGGGGGGCTGGGGGGGGGGCTTTAGCCCCCCCACTTTTTTTGACAGCCAAAATTATTAAAATAGAAATCTAAATGAAACTTTCTAAATTAATTAAACCTCACCCTTTAGCCCCCCCCACTCTCTAATACGCTCCGCGGGCCCTGATATATAAATATATATATATATATATATATATATATATATATATATATATATATATATATATATTATATTATATATATATATATATATATATATATATATATATATATATATATATATATATATATATATATATATATATATATATATATATATATATATATATATATATATATATATATATATATATATATATATATATATATATATATTATATATATATATATATTATATATGGTGTGATAATATAAGGCCATAGAGCAATATCTAATATATATACATGAAATTTGAAAATTGCTTTATTGGGAGTAAGGAAGTTTTCTCAATTTTATGTATAGAACGATCAAGTGAAGTTGCCAAAAGCAAAGACCCCCTGACACAAGCTGTCCCTCTAACACAACCAGAAATTGCTGAACCACAAACACATGCTGTTGCTGCTGAAGATGAAAATGTTGGAAGTGAAAGTAGCAATAGAATGATAGAATGCTCTATGTCAATCCAGATCAACCAGCCACCGCCACTAGAAAGCAATCCCAGCCAACAACAGCAACCTTCAACCAACTTCCAACAGCCTGGAGATACAGGTTGCTCTTCGACCATGCCGGAGAAGCTTGCATCAACACTCACTGCCAAAGATACAGTTTCCCAAGCTATAGATGAAGGTCTCGCATACTGCAAGGAACAAGATATATCAGACCCAGTTGAGATATTACGATGCGCCCAGAAATTCATTGTGAAGGGTAAGCCACTAAATGGTTACACTGGTGCTGCTGGTGAGTTCAGTGATGATAGATCAAGTTTCATTCTCATAAGTCGACATGATGTGCTTGGAACAGCTTTGGAAGAAATTTCGTGCATTGAAGATGTTCAGCTATCCCTTGAGGTATCCTTCTATGGCGAAAATGCACAAGATGCTGGCGGTCCTAGAAAAGAGTTTTTTCGGTTATGTCTACAAGAAATAAAGCAGAAATACTTTGACAATGGTATAAAAGAACATCTGTCAGAGGACTATAAAGTTGTTGGTTTGATTATGGCTCTCAGTATATTGCAAAACGGAAAAATGCCAAGGTTCCTTAGCGAAGACCAACTGGAAACAGTTTTTCTGAATGGCACCACCTCCAGCAGCCTGACTAACCTCACGCAAGGTCTTAACAACCTGGGTTTATGTGACATTGCCAAACATCTGCCAACCTTTTTATATCTTTTTCGACCCTCTTCAGCTTCATTGCTAACAAGAAGAAAACTTGTGCACATTCTTAAGCCCGACTTTTCTGAAGATGGATGTAATCAGCGACAGCATGAGAATATAGTCTATGCGGCATTTTCCAAGTACTGCAGAGAAGCTGCTGGAGGTAAAAGAGGTAATATTACCCTAGAGCATATATTACAGTTCACAA